ACCCACCTCGGAAGGATGGAAGGCTGAGTCAACCCTGAGCCGCTGAGATTTGAACTGCTGAACTGCAGATAGCAGTCAGCTGAAGTGGCCTGCAGTGCTGCACCCTAACCACTGCACCACCTCGGCTCTCTACATGGCTCTATATATGGACAATTAATATATATTAAGGACAATTAACCAGTGGAACGGCTTTCCACCAGAAGTTGTGGGTGCTCCATCACTGGAGGTTTTCAAGAAGAGCCTGGACAGCCATTTGTCTGAAATGGTATAAGGTTTCCTGCCTGAGCAGGGGCTGGACTAGAAGACCTCCGGGGTCCCTTCCAACTCCAGCTATGCCGGCTGAGGAATTCTGGGAATTGTCCACAAGTCTTAAAAGTTGCCCGATTTGGAGACCTCTGGCCTACAAGAATTGCCAATGGTGATGGAAACCGTGTGCCACCTGTGCCCACCAGCCTTCCTTGATTCTCCCCAGGACTTTGAAGAGTGGGGAAAGCCTGATGCAGAAACCCCTCAATCCTGGGGCAGCTCCTCCTCACTCAGTGCGCCTACTTCTCAGTGTGGTGGTTGGGAAAATACAGGAGGGGGAGATAAAATTATATGTGCCGCTTGGATCTCCGGGAGGGAAAGCAAGGTTAAAGGAACAAGCCCACAACAATTCATCTTGGCCAAATTGCATCATGATGCAATGAACCCCAGAATTCAGAAAACTCGGCAAAGCTGGCTGGGGAATTCTGGGAGTTGAAGTCCGCCAGGCTTAAAGTTGCCAAGGTTGGAGAGCTCACAAGGACCAAACTCTGATGCTGGGAAGGGTGGAAAAACAGAGAAGACAACGAGGGGCTGCCAAGTGGAGGGACCCAGTTACAGGGGTGATGAGGACGGTTGGAAGACCTGAAGAGGGAAGGGTGGGGAGAGGTTCTTTGTACGTCCAAAATAACGGCCTATGGATCCATCTCCATCCAGTTGCCAGCAGAGGGAGCCCAAGGACCACAACACCTCAACCACAACTGGAAACTGCAGGCAGTCCTCCACTTATGGCCACGATTGAGCCCCCCCCCATTTCTGTTGCTAAGAGAGACAGTTATGAGTTTTTGCTCCATTTTACGACCTCTCTTGCCACAGTTGCTGGGTGAATCACTGCCATTAATTTAGTAATATGGTTACGTGTATCTGGCTCCTCCATTGACTTTGCTCGTCAGAAGGTCGCAAAATGGGATCACATGATCTCAGGACACTGCAACTGTCCTAAGTACATGCCGGTTGTGCCAAGTGTCTGGATTTTGATCATGCGACCATCGGGATGCTGCAGTGATCGTGTAAAAACCAATCGTTAAGTTATTTATTTCAATGCTGTAATTTCAAGCAATTACTATGTTGTAAGTTGAGGACTATCTGTATCAGAACTTGCAAGAGGCTGCAAGGGAATACGTTAATCCGGACTGACTGGACTGTCCGCTGCTCCTGCTGGACAAGGCAGGGCTGGTGGCCACCCTCATCCATACTCGGGAGTTAAAGTGAGCAGGGGGGCAACACTGGGTGGCTCTGGGGTGGGAGATCTGCAGGGACACCGAGAGCTACAGGCCAGACTGGGCAGGAGGCGGTGGGGGCAACAGCCAGCCGCTTCTCATGAGAACCTGGAGCTCTCTTCTCTATGCAAGGATGGCTTATTCACCATAGGTTTTCCCTGCTAGGTGGAGCCTCCATGTGCCACAAGAATCTAACTCAACAATCCCAGGAGATCAAGTTTTAGCAGAAGACACCACAGAAAATAAACGTCCTTGTTTCTAACAGGAGTGACAAAGACTCCATGGATCCTGGGGTGACACCAGAGAGTCCCCTGCAAGGGCCTCGTATCAACTTCACCCAAGCCCACTACCCGGGACACCGAGGGTGACGGCAACCGGCGGTCGCGTCTCAATGTGGAGAAAGCCAGGCAGATCTACGGCTTGAGATCCTTTATTGCACCTCGTTTTTTTTCTTTACATGAATTTGAAAAAATAGATCATATATTCATCATAAAAAGTGCATTTTTTTTTCAAAGCTGTCTTTATTTGCTGTTTTGCTGACCAGTTAAGTGCAGGACAGGAGGGCAAAGCAGGGGCCAAACTTCACCTTCCCTCTACTGGCCCTCAGGTTGCTTCATCAAATACATCACAAAAAAAATATATTACAGCACGAAGGGGTAAATAACAATAATTAAAAATAAAAATATTCCCCCAACCCCAGCGAGGATCTGTTTTGTTTTTGTTTTTGTTTTTTAAAAAAGGCTGGTTAAATAAAACTCCATAGGTTAAAAAAATAAAATAATAATTAAAAAAAAAACACAACATCCAAAGCTTGGTCGCAAGAAAAAGTTTTGGAAACTTTCTGTATAGCGTCATGGCGAGCTCTGGGGAGCCAAGAAGCAGCACAGCAGCTCTCTCAGTCCAGAAAGACACTCGAGGGGAGCTTAGCCGGAGGCACAGAACAGAGCACAAAACACCCCACAAATGCAGAGCAGCGGAGGGCCGCCAGCACAAAGTGGAAAGCGGCCCTGGGTGCGAGGCTCAGAAGTGCTGATGCTCTCTAAGAAGGCGCATCTGGCACAGCTTGGGTCTGGCCCAAGAGGCCTCCCAGGGGTGGGGCAAGGAAGCCTCCTGGCCAGGAGAACCAGCTTACGTGCCACAGGCCTGGAAAAGCAGCCGTGGGAGGGGGAGGCAGTGAGCAGAATCGAAGGGGTCACATCCCACACTACCAGTCTAAAGCAGCAGAGATTGACCCCTCTTGGGACAGGTGGGCAGCCCAGAAGCCTGGCCGGAGAGTGGAGGGGCAGCAGCTGACCATCCTAAGTGGGAGAATGCAATGAGGTCCAGCTGGCGGAAGCGGAAACCTAGTTCACAGGTTCAGGGAAAGCGGTCACTTGAGAGGTCCTTTCACAGTATTTGTCACCCAGGCCGACCCCCCCACCCACCCCACCCCTCCTGGAAGCTAGGACCCTTCTTGCTTTTGCCCACCAAAGGAACTGAGTGAGGGAGGTGGCCAAAGGGAAGTGGATCCCTTTCAGAGAATGCAGAAAGCCCACCGGATGGCCGGACTCACTGGAAGCACCTCCTGGGCCTGGAAGAGAGTGGCCACCGACAACAGCACTGCAGGAAAAGCCTCAGCTGCTTTGGAGTGTGTGTGTGTGTGTATTGCAGGTCCCCCTTTCCTTTGGAGTCTCAAAGCCAAAGCCCTTTCCCCCCCCAGATAATTTTTTTTTTTATATCGCCATCACTCCCATTTCCAAAACTGGAAACCGGAGTAGATCTTTAAAGTCGACACTGACTCGATGGCACAATTAATTTGCTTGGCTGAAGGTTTCAGAGAGAGAGTTGAATGCCCACTGAAGAAATATCGCCTCGACCTCAGAAAACCCCGATCCCCAAGAGCAGCCTTGCCATTTGCAGAAGTTCATGGGCAAAATTAAGAAGCAAGGCTGCAACGGTTTGGCCCACTTTAACATGGCAAAAGCTTTCAGCAGGAATGTGCCCAAATAATCCACAAAAAGTCTGCCCTGATTGGCCACTTAATGTGGCTTTTTTTATCCTAGTGGAAGCAGATCCTGTAGAAACGGAGCCCGAGAGAGATCAGACACTCGTCAGAGATCAAACACTCAGGATGTGAAGCTGACTAGCGAAAAGGATAAAGTGCCTGTTTTAAAACCATGCAGCTAACACATTCACAAAGCCACCACAAGACACAAGCTGGGTGGGGGCAGCACAGGGAGGGTCTCCCCCCCTTGAGTTTTCCTCTCCGCAGGGCATCCCCCACTGGCAGAAACAGCGATGAAGTGTGGAGGGAAATGGCGTCGTCGTCCAGATCCATCAAGCGTCCCAATTCAGTAGAAGGCAAATCCTTTTTTTCCAGGAGAAAAGGTGGGCTGGGCACCCTCTGAGGAGGGGGATCCGGCTCACGCCCCAGAAAAGTCCTCCTTTCTCCTCTCGATATGGGAACCGGCCGAGGAGAGGGCCAAAGGACAACCAGGGGCTTCGCTGTGTGCTGCACCCCCAAGGAGGGACTGAGAACAAATCGCAAGGCAGTGGCCGCAGCTGCAGCAGAGCGGGTTAGCGGTGTGCCCAGGCGCATTGGGGCTCCGGCCCCCTTCACCCGGCCCAGCGTTGGCAGGGGGCGGGTGGGCTGGCAGGCTAGGCCCAGAGGCGCAAGTTGTGGGTTTGAGTGTCACAGAGCAAGGAGCGAGGGGGAGTTCAGAGAGTCCGGGGAAAGGTCGCTGCTGCCGTTCCGCTGGTGGCTGGCTCCGCAGGTGGCTCCCTCTGGGTAGGTGAACACAAACGAAGACGTATAGGAAGGGTTAACCGGGTACGGGTCGGTCAGCTCCTCACCATGGCTAAAGAAAGAACTAGAAAACGCTACCTCCGCCGGGGCCGGGGCTGCAGCCGGGAGTCCGCCCAGGGCCGGCTGGTAATGGAGGGGCACCGAGGAGTAGGAGGCCGGGGGCCCAAACGGGTCCTCCTTGACCGGCATGGCCAGGGCGCTGACCTCTGCCGAGGGGCCGGGCTGCCCACTCAGTTCCGTGATCTCCTGGTAGGGGATTTTGCAGGTGCCCTTGTGAGCCACGAGGACAAATTCCAGCCGCTCCCGTTCCTTCTGCAGCTCCGCAATCTCGGACTCCAGCTCGGCTTTCTCTTCCTCCAGCTGGTCCGTCTCCTGGGGAAGAGGCAGCACCGGGTCAGGCCAGGGCCGGAGCAGCCGGGACCCAGGGGGGCAAGTGGGTTGGCCCAGAGCAGCAGCGCCTCCTTCTTGGTCTCCTCCTTCCAGGCCCATCGGAGACGCCGCTCAAGGGAAGCGTTAACTGTTGGGGTCCTTCCTCACCTCCCCCCTCCCGCCCCCCACCTTCCAGGTTCCCCTCTGCTTTAAGGCCCAGGGATCCAGGGGTCTCTGCAAGGGGGAGGCCTGGGCTCTCCTGGGGGTCCTTATTTGTGGATCTGGAGTGGGGAGGGGCTTGCTGCAGCAGAGCCCACTGAATCTTGGCCTATGAGCGCAGGAGAAGGAAAAGGTCCAAGGGGACCCCTTCCTTGGCCCCAGCGTCTCCCCCCCTGGAGCATTCCACTTCGGGGGACTGGTGGAGCAGCATCACCCCCAAACTTTCAGGAAACTCTGCAAAGTCTGGTCAGAAAAGTCGAGGCGGCATCAGCATTGGCACAAGGGAAGGCGCTGCCAGCTTCCTGGGAGCTGCAATGGCAGCTGTGGGGGCTGCAGCCTTGACTTTTTGACTGGACTCTGCGGACAGAAACCCCCTTGAAATGAAAGAACAAATTATTCTAATTCAAGGTAAAACCTCCCCTCCACTAAGGACAAGGCTTGCAGTAGATCAGTGGTTCCCAAACTTGGCAACTTTAAGACTTGTGGACTTCAACTCCCAGAATTCTCCAGCCAGCAGAGCTGGCAACTTTAAGACTTGTTGGACTTCAACTCCCAGAATTCTCCAGCCAGCAGAGCTGGCAACTTTAAGACTTGTTGGACTTCAACTCCCAGAATTCTCCAGCCAGCTCTGCTGGCTGGAGAATTCTGGGAGTTGAAGTCCACAAGTCTTAAAGTTGCCAAGTTTGGGAAGCACTGCAGTAGATCAAAGGCTGGGTTCTATCCTGAAAACTGGCTCCTTGCCTACGGAAAGTCCAAGCAGCCAAACCCTTTGACTTGTTGGGATCACATTTGAGGGACACGATCAGCCTGGACAGGGCCCCCCACAGAGCCTCAAGGAAATGGGAGAGTTTACAACATGCCCCCCCTCCCATGGGGCAAGCTCTATGCAGTCCCCGCAGGGACAAGGCCAGATTCCCCTCCTGGGGGCTTTATTAAGGCCAGAACAAGGGTAACACTAACTCACCCCCCGTTTGCATCAAAACTCACCGCTTGAAGCCGGTCGGTCAGTTCTCGACGTCGATTCCGGCACTTGGCGGCCGCCAGCTTGTTCCTCTCCCTGCGGACCCGGCGCTTCTCCTCTTCCTCGGGGGTCAGCTGTGCGAGCAGAGAAGAGAGGCAGGTCAGGCATTGGGCTGCCATTGCAAGGCCAGAGGCTTCCTGGGGCTCCTGGCACTTCCTTGCAACTTGGGGTGGGGGAGGCAAGTTAAAGGCACCCCCAAAATGTGTACGAGAAGATGGAACTGTGTCATCACCCTTTATAACGGATAGATGGGGAGGGGGAGGCAGGGAGGGAGGACAGAAAGGTCCAGCCAGCCAGTCTGCCTACTGGGACACTTCTGGCTTTTGAAGATCTTTAAAGCAAATTTATTTCAACCCCATTTGGTCTTCATGGGTTGTGTTATGATTAAGGCTTGCTTTTATCATGTTGATTTATTCCTAGGCTTGTTTTTCATAACCTTAAGCCTTGTAACCCACCCTTTTAGGTAAGGTGGGCTATAAAACCACTAAACACAGTGTATTTCTAAACTGATAAGGCTCTAAATTGGGGCAGGAGGGGCGGTAACATTTAAAAAACAAATGAAATTCAAGAGCGTCTGTGTGCCTTACAGCTTTCCAACCTTGCCAACTTTAAGACTTGTGGACTTCAACTCCCAGAGTTTATCAGCCAGTACATTTTGGAAATTAAAGTCGACAAGTCTTAAAGTTGCCAAGGTTGGAGGTGCCTGCGTTATGACACAGATCTCCCCCTCAAGGCATGTCAAATCAAAATAATATTAGCAATATTAGCACTGTCCTAATCCCTGTTTTCCTCCCAAGACCTACTTAGGGAACAGAATTGGGAAGGGGCTGCCTGCCAGGGCTCTATTTTTCTGGAGGTGAACGTGTGGTTTTGTGACCGGGGTTAACTCTGCACAATTCCCATTTTGTAAGAACACGCACAATGGATTTTCAATGGTGAATGGATTGTTGATGTGGGGGAGGAAAGTCCTCAGGACGCCCCACTTCTACCTATATTAAGCCCTCCTCTCCCCCCCAAAAAAGACATCCCAACTTCCAAGGGGACAATTTGGAAAAGGGGAATCTCTTCTGGGAGATTCCAACACACCAGATCTCAAATAAGCAAAGGGAACCGAGTTCCTGATCTCCTGGCTGAGGAAGGAAAAGCAGCTCACCGTTTCTTCACGTGTCCTTCGGGGCCGGGCCCTGCTGGACCGAGGCGGGGTGGCCTCAGGCACAGGGGCAGTCGAAGGGCCAGCTCCATAGGCACCCATTCCGGGGGCAGCATAACTGGGACCGGGCAGGTCATAGGGGTCCACTGTGGGTGGGGGCAGCCCGGAAGGCTGCTGCTGCTGCTGCTGTTGCTGCTGTTGCGACTGAGACATGGAGGAAATCAAGGTAGGCTGCACCAGCCACTGGAGGTCTTGGCTTGTGGATATAGCAGTGACTGTTGGCACAAAAGATCCGGGCATTTCCCCAAGGCCGCTGCACTCCTGGAGGGAAGCGAAGGGGTTAGGTGCTCATTATGGGGGTCTGCTTTGGAGAACAGGGAGCACTTCCCTGGCTGACCTGCCCCCCCCCCCAAGGTGATTCCACAGGTTTCCAAAGCAGCTCCCTTTGCATTGCTCCTGTGTCCAGCATGCAGGATCCCAAACCCGGAGAGGGGGGGGGGCACCAGGCAGAAGGGACTGGCATGTCGTCCTAGGCACCGGCTGGGGAGGATGGTACTCAGAGACACCCGCTCTACAGCCGCATCCTCAGCCAGGGAGCCCCGCAAAGCAGAGCTCAGCGCTGGCTCTCGGAGCCAAAAGGCGCTTCTGTCAAGCCGTGGGGTCGAGGACGGGGGCTCGCTCGGGCTCCGAGCGCTCCTGGGCGGGGGCTTCGCTTTGGCCAGCCAAGATCAGCCCCCGGGGAGGCAAGACCTTCCGTGCACGGGCCGGGAGGCGGCCACCCCGGCTGGCTCCGTTCTCCAGACCCGGGGGATCCCCAAGGTCCCCCGAGCCGGGCAGAGACGGGAGCGCAGTCCGGAGGCAGACGCCCCCTCGGGCAGGGCTGCACCTCGAGACCCATCATCCCCAGCGGGCAGGTGGCCCGGCGACCGGGGGGGAGGCGAGCCAAAGAGCCAGCCCTCGGGCGCCCCCCGGGCAGGGCCGGCAGGGCAGACACCCGTCCAGGTAGCCCCGCCGCAAGAGCCTCCCGCCCGCGAAGGGACCATCCCGGGCAGCGCTGCGAACTCAGCTGGCAGAGGGGCGGTTCGGAGGGGGGGCGCGGCTGGAAAGCCGCTCGACCAATCCGCGCAGCCCTCGCGCTCGCCCCTCCCCTTAGCAACGGGGGCGGGCCAGCTTTCCAAAATAACCCGCGCGCTTCGGGGAGGAGGAGGGGGAGGAAAACGCGCCGTACGTGCCTCACGTCAGCACGGAGCGTTCCAGTACGTCATGCGTTACGCACAACCCCGCCCCCCTTTCTCGCTCGCGTTCTCGCCTCCCCTCCAGCGCGCGTGCGTGGAGGGAAGGGGAGAAGAGTTGAAAGCGGACGATGCGGGGGACTTGGGTGGGGGGCGGGGGGCGAAACGAGCGGACCCCCCCAAATCTGCCCGGGGGAGGGGCTGGGGGAGGGGGGCACTCATGATCCTCCCGGCTAACCTTTTGATCTTGGCTTCTCTCCAGCGCCTGGTCGAAGGAGTATGAACGGGCTGCNTTTGACTTACATTAGCCCAGTGTTTCTCAACCTTGGCAACTTGAAGATGTCCGGACTTCAACTCCCAGAATTCCCCAGCCAGCAAATGCTGGCTGGGGAATTCTGGGAGTTGAAGTCCGGACATCTTCAAGTTGCCTAGGTTGAGAAACACTGCATTAGCCTGACGTCCTTTTAGGAATCTAAACAGGAGCTCCCATCCCGCCCCCCCAATCCATTCACTGGTCAGACTGGTGCCTTCTCTCCCTCCCTCCTCTCCCGCGGCCTGTGCTTGGGCTGCACAGGACCTTCCCGTGCTGTGAGAGATGTGCAAGCATTCAGCCACTCCGTTTTTGGCTGCACATTGTGTCTCAGAATCCCCTTCCTTCCTTTCCAGCTGAAATAAAAACACACATGTTTCTCCGGCTTCTGCCTGTCACGTGAGCTGGAAGGGGAACTTTGGCAGCAGGCAGCAACATGTGTGTACGTGTGTGTGTGTGAGAGTGTGGGTAATGTGGTAGTGGGACAGGGCGGGATTGGCTCGGCCCTTGGAAACAACCCTCACATCAGCAATAACTGCCTCCCCCCCCCCATTCCAGTTTAACCTGGCTGTGATGGGAGGGAGGGGGCTCTGGGATGGCTGGATGCAATAGGATGGCCTTTAGAGTAGGAAGAGGGGGGGCTTCAGAGAAACCCACTGGGACCCCCATCCCTGCTGACACCATTGGAAAACGCCCACCATACATGGGTGGGGGTGGGGGCACAGGTAAGCTTTCCAAATAATAAATTTTAGTTGTACATCAGCCTCAGGTCCTCCATGGGCTGTTTTAAAAATTAGAGAGGGAGGGAGGGAGGGAGAGATCCTGGGGGTCCTCAGCCCACCCAGAGACTGCAGTGGCGCTGGGGGGTCCTGGCCGGTGGGCTTGGCAGCCACGGAAGAGAGACCGAAGAGAGCCGGGGGGGGGGCGTCCTTTGGGGGCCGCCAGCCAGAGAGGCCGGGGCAGGTTACGGGGCGTCTGTGGGCGGATCGGGTGCCGCGCAGTGGGAGGGGGAGTCGCGCCTGGGCTCCAGTCTCCGCCGCCCGTGGATGCTCTCCCGAGATCCTCCTTCAAAGCAAAGGCAGCCCACCCCTCCGGGAAGGAGCAGGAGAAAACGGCCACGGAGTCGCGGGAGGCCCGCCAGTCGGATCGAGCCTCTGCCGGTGGGGTGGTGGTGGTGGTGGAAATCCCAGGAGGGGCAGAGAGCGTGCCATGGGCTTTGTAGTCCAAGGCGTGGGGCGCACGAGGGGCCTCGTGGTCCGCAGAAGGCTCTCCGGCGCGTCTCCGCCGACCACGCGGCCGGCCGAAGAGAACAAACAACCCGCCGTTGCCCGGCAACAACGTTCCATTCTCGCTGACGTCACTCTTCGTTTGTTGACGTTTCCAGGCAACGGCGCCGCTGCCCCGACAACCGCCTGAAGGGGCCGGCCTCCTGAGGGGCGGAGCCAGCGGGCAGGCGGGGCTTGCGGCTGTTGCTCCATTTCACCCCGTTCCCGGTCGTGAGAACCGATGCGGAGGGGGGCGGGGAGGGGGGGGGGCTCGCCGGTACCACGAAGGGAGGACGGCGCCCACCCGCGTGGGAAAGGCCCCGCCGGCCCCCTCGGCCTGCCTTCCGCGGAGACGCGGGGAGCCTTCCAGGCACCGCTGCCGCTCCGGCTCTGCCCCGCCAAAGGGCTCTGGGTCGCCACGCGGAGCCCCCGCTGCGCTCGCTTTGGGGCAACTGGGAGGGGAGAGGTCCGGCATCGGCTGGCGCTGGCCGGACTCGCGCTGCCGTGGCGACTACAAGGCCCATGGTGCCCTCCGTGGGGAAACGGCGTTTCTGCCCCCCACCTTTCGACCCTGGGACCGCACCGAAGGGCAGCCTTATGCGGGAGCCCCCTCGGGGGCTTCGGAGGGCGAGAAGCGGCTGCCTGCGGGAGGTCGCATCGCTGCGCGTTTCCTTCCGCGGTTGTGCCTTGCGCTGATCCGGCCCGTGAAACTGTGGTTGCCGAGGAGACTGTGAGCAGTTGGCTCCACGCCACGCAGCCCCGGACTCCAGCCCAGACGCCCCACCACCACCACCGCTGCTCTGGGGGCTCCGTGGCCTCTGCCAGCTGCTCTGGGCCCCTCCTGTGGAATCGGGGCTGCGGCTGAGCATCCTGGGAATTGTAGTCTGCGCAGCTGGAAGACCGCAGCACCGGGGGACACAGGACAGAGCAATACTGGAGAAAGTAACTGGTCCACTTAGGAAATGTTCTATGCCCAAGGCTTCCCTTTTCATCGCTCTGTCGTCACTTTATTTAAGCAGAGATTAGGTCAGTGTTTCTCAACCTTGGTGACTTTAAGTCCTGTGGACTTCAACTCCCAGAATTCCCCAGCCAGCTTTGCTTTGCTGGCCAGGGAATTCTGGGAGTTGAAGTCTACTCTTGAAGCTGCCAAGGTCGAGAGAAACACTGCCCTAGAGGTGAAGCAGACCTTCTGGCCAGTCGATTCAGAGCAACTGTGCTGGACTAAGACCAAGGAGATGCTGCCAGCCCAGATTGTGCCTCCCCTGGTTTAGGTGTTTGGAGTTTGATCTGGCCGTGGGGATCTCTAAACTAAAAAGTTGCCCTTTTTTCAGCAAGACCAAAATTGCCCCATGAATTGAATGGGCTCTTCACACAACCGTCCGATCCCAGCACATGATGCTCGGCCCACCACACAAAGTCTTCCAGTTGTGTCATCCTTGGCACATGTATGACTGCACCGGTGTAAACAAATCTCATTGCAACAGCTGGTGCGTAAACAATGCGTGTAGGGTTTCTGGAAACACTCAGCATCCAGGAATGGGGCTGGGATTGGGGGGGGGGGGAAATGTTAAGTATCATGCATTTAATGAAGCAGCTGAAAAGGGAAGACTGGGAGAAGAAGTGATAACAATATGATTTTGGGAAGCAAGCTGCATCTCCTGCGTGTGCGAGAGAGAAGAGGGGGGGGGGAGATTTGCAGCCTAGGGGCAGGAACCGGACTCCTTATCTGGGTAATTGTGTCAGAGAGCTTTTTGTGTGTGAAAGGTGACTGCATGCGCTGCGCATTCCAACATTCCCCGCCTGCCTTGCGTGCCAGGAACTGCTGGCAGCAGCATCCCAGCTTTTCCCCACTGGGCTGTGGGCTCTGGCCCCCGTCCAGAAGAATTTGGCCTCTGGCCTCAGTAAACAACAACAGCCAGAATTGGAAGCCAAAATGTGTTGCTAAGAGATGTTTTGCTCCGGGCTGAGAATGGGGGGGTGGGGGGACAGAGGGAGAAACAAAGGGGCAAGTAGGTCTCAGGAGGAGGGCAGAGTAAAATGGGGGGGGGGCTGCTGGAATCCCTTCCCCATAGAGACTCCTTTAGTGCCCAAATGGCATCATTTTGGCACCAGGGAAAACCTTTAAGTTGCATTCTAGTGCAGTGTTTCTCAACCTTGGCGACTTTAAGTCCTGTGGACTTCAACTCCCAGAATCCCCCAGCCAGCATAGCTATATTAAATTATATTATAGCTATGCTGGCTGGGGGATTCTGGGAGTTGAAGTCCACAGGACTTAAAGTTGCCAAGGTTGAGAAACACTGTTCTTAGTGGTATTGCCTTATTTATTTTTATTAGTTCATAATATAAAATACAAAAATACAAAAGAAAATAATAGGAAAAATGGGAGGGAGAATGGAAAAAAAATAAAGAAAAGGCTTTCAACTCCGTTTGGTGCAGTAGAATAAGATAATAAACATCAAACCTCAAGTTTTTACTTTTACATAATAACAACAAACGTAACCCAAAAAGCAAAGTTTCATT